GGGGGGGGGGCGACACGTTTCTTGGGACATCTGTGTGTGTTTTTGTTTGCCATCTCAGCTGATAACGGAACTCAAACTTTTGTTTTGGTAAAGGGAGGCAGGGGCGGGAGGGGTATAGATTTCAGAAATTACATGGATAATCGCTTACCTCCCTCTGTTTTCAATTGTTTCACGACAAGGACCGATTTACCCTCCAAGTCCGACAGCATGCTCGTTGTCATGGACACGCAGCTTCCCTCTCGGCTCAGGGGGCCTAAATCAAGTAATGTTATAATCGGGATATTACCCTGACTTTCAGAGTTCTGACGGAGACTGTCTCCACGCTTTCCGTTGTGCTTTGTATTATCATACTTAATAAAGGTTTTGTATATCACCTTGAGTCTAAGACTTCCGGATCGAAAGAGTCGCTTTACGATATACGGTTTCATAGTAAAAAAAAAAAAAAAAACTATTAGGAATTTTTTCCAGGTCAATCATAAGCATAAGACTAAAAATGTAAGAAAAAAATCAATGTACTTCAGTGAAATACTACTTAAATCATTAGGTCTATTATAGGAAGTACAATACCTGACCATCCAATCAAAAGGTCCAATACGGCGTTTGTAGAGCTCGCGTTACCAACAGTTTCAGAGAGCGTTTTGATCACCTTTAGCATTCCTACCATGGGCCGCTGTTTTAAGAACTTCCCTTATATATATAATGAATAATTCAAATATATATTTAACACTCATATTAGATAAAAATGGCAAATCAGATTATTTAACTTTTTCTTGCATGAATAAGAACTGCTAGGGCGCTACATTTTATTTATGGTATAACTATTATCCATTTAAAGTTTCGTGGATGACCTGCATTGGTTTATAAGGAACTGACAGCAGGTTTTTTTTTTAACACGNAATCATAAGCATAAGACTAAAAATGTAAGAAAAAAATCAATGTACTTCAGTGAAATACTACTTAAATCATTAGGTCTATTATAGGAAGTACAATACCTGACCATCCAATCAAAAGGTCCAATACGGCGTTTGTAGAGCTCGCGTTACCAACAGTTTCAGAGAGCGTTTTGATCACCTTTAGCATTCCTACCATGGGCCGCTGTTTTAAGAACTTCCCTTATATATATAATGAATAATTCAAATATATATTTAACACTCATATTAGATAAAAATGGCAAATCAGATTATTTAACTTTTTCTTGCATGAATAAGAACTGCTAGGGCGCTACATTTTATTTATGGTATAACTATTATCCATTTAAAGTTTCGTGGATGACCTGCATTGGTTTATAAGGAACTGACAGCAGGTTTTTTTTTTAACACGAGAGAGAGAGAGAGAGAGAGAGAGAGAGAGATATCAAGAAAGACTAAAGACGATACGAACGTACCTATCGATTTCATACTTTTTCTTAATTTATTATGGACATTTTTAGCTTCAGCCAATAGGTCTTTAACAGGTTTGCCTTCATGAAATACAAGCATTTATAACGTTATCTGGTAAGTTTTAAAAATATATTGGCAATTTTCGTATAATTGCTTGGGGAGAACTATTAAAATGATCCCCAGTGTTGCTTTTGTTTCCGAATTTACCATGCCAAAGTTGAAAATTTAAGATATTATTTTATTGCCAATAATAAAAAAACAAAGGACGTTCAGTAGCATTATGTGAACTAGAATATAAGAAGTTTATGTATACCTTCAGGTGAAGCCGAATCATTTGTCAATTTGGAGACCGCTTCAATCACCTCTTCTGCCGATGCTAAGATTTTCCGCGCTCTTCTGCCACGCGCCCTCTCATTCTCAATTCTCTGATGACATGCACAAAGAAAACAAACGTTAAAATGGAGGGATTGAGACTTAAACACATTTGCAAATAATTGACTGTTCACAAAAAAAGAGGTTTAGTAAGCCTGAGAGAGAGAGAGAGAGGGAGAGAGAGAGAGAGAAGACAGACATCATACCGCTTTCGATCCACCAGCTCCTCCTTCGATCAAGAAAACGGATAGTACTATTACAACAAACACGATGCATTTCATGGCAGCCATCTCTATTGTTCTTTGCTACACTTGTGTTTCTTGTACATAAGCTGTAAAACAACTGTAAGGATTTGGATTCTAAAACATTCTTTATACTTTTTCCAACACCTACGACTGACACGTTTCTCGGGAAATAATTTTCATGGAAATATTTTGTAGAGATACCATCATGTTTGTGAGAAAATATTGAATTGCATTGAAATCTTACACTTTTGTTTACTGCTTAATTTTCAGACCAGAAAGATAACGAAATTATTCTCCGTAATAACTGTTTATTTGTTGAGATAACATCAATTTACGTGATGTCTTTATAGATCCTATTTGACTTAGCCGATCGCACTGCATGAATTCTTCAGAATTTTTATTCACTATTTAGGAAATCTACATATGTAAGCATTTTCTACTGATAATTGATATTGAAGACCCAAACTTTCTCTTAGGCCTTATTCTTCTCTTTTGATAGCACGACACACGCATGTAATGGACCTGAGTATTATTTTAATGGTAAAATATGGATTCTATATACATGTAGGTCTCGCTCTCTCTCCTTTTAACCATCACATTTGAATTTCCGCCAGATTTTATTCAGAGACACAACAGTTTTTAGTTTTTTTTTATGTCTTAAAGATATAATGCAGTTACATACTGTTCAGGCCCGTGGACAGCAATTTTAAAAGGGGGGTTCTTTTTCTGAAAAAGTGGACCTTTTTCAATAAAAAACTTCATTAACCTAGATCAAATGTTACCCAGACAGAGTGGACCTTTTCCCAGCAAAAGGGGCGGTTCTTTCGAACCCCCCGAACCCCTCTGGCTACGGGCCTGCTGTTGATGACCGCACACTCACTGGCTTGAATAAACGAGAGAACGGCTACTTTTGAGCAAGAACTTCTTGTTTTGAGAAAGGAATTAACATTGTGCTGGAGGTGGGAAGGTTTCTGGGTGGTGGTAGACTACCCTCTACTAGGACCGCAGTTTAATGCATTATGTGCACTTTTCCCACAGCAATAGAGAATCGTATCATGAATCAGCCAGAGGCATATCTGTGAATATGTACTGAAAATGCTGTAACCGCTGTAGAAGATGGTGGTTGACTTGTCACGCCATTTGCACATCATTTAAGTAGTAGTAGTAGAGGTATACCTGTTCATTAGCAACAGAGTATTGTGTTGTATTGATCCCAACTGTGAAACGACCCAAAGCTGTGCCATCATGATATAATCGACTTCGGCACGTCATCCGTACTGCTTCTAGGGTAACTTTCTTTTATTGTCTATTTCTTAGTTCTGACGATGTTAAAAGCTTGAAACTTATTACCACTTAGATATATGAGGATATCCTTCCGCGATGGCAAAATACATGTAAATCTTAATTGAATCAGCAAATTAACAGTGCTAACAGTGGTCCTTGGCAGCATTTGCTGTCTTCTCTGTAACATCCTCCAACAGGGGACACCTGACGCAATCTACAATTATTCATTGTGATTTGCTATTTTAGGTATGTCGTTAAACCCCCTGTAAATCATTCTGAGAGTGGACTAAATGTTTTGTTCTTCGAGCGACTGCAAAACTAGTGTAACAGGAGCTAAAGATTCGTGACCCACACTAAATGTCAAGTTATGTTACCAGCTCTTTAAGATAGATTTCCATATGTTTGTATCATATTGGGCTTGACGCCGTGTCAATGATTTAATTGGCTGATAATGATCAAGGTCATCTGTGAATATCGCAAGACACGTGGGAAATTTCGAACAAAAAATTCATTTTCAGAATCGTATGGTTAGTCATTAGTATTTTATCGAAATTTTTTCATCAAGTGATTTTGGTTTCACTGCAAACGGTAACATTTAAATTATTATTAGATTCACAAAACGCCTTATATTTAGATAAAACCAGATGTAACCATCATTCAATTAATCTAATTTTCAGTTCATTTTATTTCTGAAATTGTTTTACAAGCGCCAGGACTACATAAAGACAATAAGAACTTTCTTAAAATATTAAAATAGCCAAGAGCTTTGATTCGGGTGTACATGTATTACTATTACATGTCTGCAGTCTTATCATATATACATGTAGGCCTATGTACTGTATATGTGCATTTTTCAATTGGATACGATTAAATACTGTATACTCAGATAAATAGGACAAAAGTTACTCGGGTCAACTAATGTTTTTGCTCTAGACTGCCACCCAGCGAGAAGAATTCTATTAACTTTTCGAGAGTGTCTTGTCTCTATGTCCATTTTCTTTCCCTCTACATTCACTCTTTGCCAAAATTCTCTCATATAATAGCCTGAATGCAAAAGAAATTACTGAATCTTCCCAACTGGACTGAAATGTTTTTTGAGTTCATCTTCAGACGCGTATGCTGGAGTGTAGTGCAATGCAGCCACTCCTTTGGTGACAGCTTCCAAACGCTCGATTTCATGGTTTTTCGAAGAAATATGAGCGAGTTGTCTTTTCTTTAATAAAAGATTTTGGATTTTGTCTTTTTCAAGTACACCTTTAATTTTTTCTAAATGACTCTCCATCTTTTTCTCAAGCTTTCCTGCGTCTGTTTTAGCAGTTTGCAACTGATTCAGTTTAATACTATACTCGGTCTCTATATTTTGGCATGCTTCTTCGCGACATTTTTCGACGTATTTCACGTAGCCGTCAAACGTTTTCTTCACACTACAGATTTGCTGTTCTCTCATGTCTTTCAACTGTTGGATTTGGTCGGTAGTTTTATTCTGAATACTATGGAATGTGTCTTTTGCTTTGCAGACCTCCTGTTGTTTAGTTTCTAGTTCAATTCTGATTTCTTGTTTTAATTCTGCTTTGTCCTGAAGTAGGCAGGGTTTTTGGCCGTCCCTTGGAGTTGGACTGTGTTCTAAAACGGTACACGACTGGCAAACAAGTGACTGGTGAGTTTTGCAGTAGAAATGGAAAGGTTGGTTTGAGTGCTTAGTGCAGCCTTCTTCTGCATTGGACGTTATGTAGAAATTGGTCTGGAGCCCTGCAGCGCCTCCCGAGGGAAGATTGGTGTTAGAACGACACACGGGACACTTGATTCTCGAAACAATTTCAAGTTTACTGATACACTTGACACAAATGGTGTGATGACAAGAAAGAAACTTGGGAATGTGTACACAGTCATCGTACTGACAAATACACACCGGACAAATTGCCTGACAACTGTTTTCCTTCAATAGGAATTTCCTGTCATCTCTGTGGACATCCATGTCCTCATTCAAAATCCTTTTATAATATCTAGAAAGATCGAAGTCACTTAATAAAGATACAACAGCAATAGACTATGTTCAAATTTAAATCAATGTCCTACAATCCATTTTACTACCAAGAAAATGCAAATTTTGTTTCTGTCAGGTTACAGTTGATAGAACGGTAAATTCCAATTATTACTTTTTTAGAATTACTGAAAGCACAAAGCTTAAGATTCCTGAAGAGGTCCAATTTATCCAATTTCGCCTGATTTTACTCTTGTTGAACAATCACATTTGTAAAAGTACAGAAAATGTTATTATGACAGAAAAGTTCTATTCAAATACCTTAGCCAAAATGCCACAGCCGTTTCACTAGCCAAAATTCTCCAACTAAAAAGAATCATAAATTCAAATTTGAAGCGGTTTTCTCACGCCCCTTTTAGTACCAAGAAACAGTTTAAAGTTGATAAAAAGTAATATTGCAATAAGTACTTGACTGTTGAGCATTAGTGAAAACACCGATGTTCCTGTTGCGTTAAAGCTAGTCAAAATGTGCCTGCTTTTATTCTTTTTTAATTGTAAATCTTATTTATTATAGAAAATGACACATTAGCATAAAAGTTACGATCCCATACCTACTTTTCTCCCTTGACATTTCATGGCTCTCAAACGTTCCTGTCTTACACTTGGCTTCCTTATAATGATTGTTTTACATGGGCCGTGCTGTTAAATAACAGATAAACTACCAGTATTTATCACGCAAAGATAAAACAGTTTGATTGACAGACTCCATGACGACCCGTTTACACAGGATAAAACTTTGAGTCTGAATAAATTCGTTTGAAATTGCAGACTTCATTGTCACAACGTTGTGAGATATGCAAATTTAGAAGTCTATCAGTACTATTAATAGTTCACTACACATAATTTGTAATAACCAGCCGGTTGGTTATTCAGGTTCTTAGATTTCTCTTTCACCAGTAAGACAACTGAGACAGGCAGGTATAGTTTACTGCTACATGATTTAATCAATCGACTGTACAACTCAGGTCTCTCCTACATGTCTCTATATCTCTCAGTCTCTGTCTCTCTGTGACGTGGTCACTGTTTTTATACTCTATCTTAATTTACATTTTATATGAACTTTCATAACTGACATGCAACATGCCATGCCTATATACATTAAAACTTCATTGTAGATACACTTAAATTATATCTTGATTTATATTTTAACTGAACTTCCCTTTAACTGCCATGCAACATGTCATGCCTACGAACGTTTGAATAATTAAAACTTGAACAAATATGCATATCTCATGTATGCAAATTTAGAAGTCTATCAGTACTATTAATGGTTCACTACACATATCTCCCTTTTTTACCACAAAAAAAAAAAAAAAAAAAAAAAAAAAATGAAGGAACTTAATCTTTTTTAAACCCATTTCACCGACACCTATTTATACACTGTAATTAATAGAATGTTAAGCTAAAACACAAGGTACAGGAACACATT